CTCAACATGAGGCTCAAGGATATCCTGCAATTTTCATTGCTCCCGTGAACCTAGGCTAAGAGCTGATGTCAGAAAGTTGTATTCCTAGGACATGGGTTTTATTTGGTTCCTTCATTCTGCTCTGTGTTGTGTATAATATTCTTCAGTATAGCTTTAGATGTATAGACCATCATTGATTCTTTTTAACCATAATTAATGTCTCCAGAAACTTGGATATTCCATTATTTACCTCTGATTTTTCAAAAAGCTTTAATATGGAAAGCCCATTTAAAAATAATATAAAATAGTAGAGTTAAGCAGAAAACCAGAATATAGACCATAAATGTAACTACAACTTGGGGTAGATTAATTGTTATAGTTGATACTGATCTGAATTTACTGGCAGTAAGAACATCACAAAATGAAGTTCTGGTTCCATGATTTATTATGTGTGGCAGGAGAATGCCTAAGACATCATTTTTGTTTTTAGGGAATTGTTGCTAGCGTTGACCTTGAAGATTTTTTTCCTCATGAATTCTTGTTTGGAAGATAATTACTAATGATTAATAGACATTATCACTGGGGTTTTATAATAAACAAAAGCACTTGTTAGTGTATAGACTTTGTTAATAGCTGAAGCCTAAACCCTGAATCAATGAAGATATTTTCAGACTGAATAATATTACTGAATTAGTTTGCTTATCTTTTATTCAGCAACCTGCATAGTATTAACTATTTGCCATATACTGTGCTAGACATTGGGTTTAATGGAAGAAATTGTCCTTGAAGTACTTAGTCCAGTGGGGAATTTAGGTGGGTAAACAGGTTTACTGTGCAAGTTGCTATAACGGAGACAAGTATATCATTCCATTGGAGCCCGAGAGGGTATGTCTTCTAGGAATAGTTGGAGGAGAGTACGCTTAACGACTGAGCCACCCAGGTACCCCTGGAGGAGGGTTCTTATGATACGTGATATTTGAGCTGATTCTTAAGTTTGCCTGGTTGAAAGGAAGGAAAGAAACAAGAATGCTCTTGGATGCTCTATTTTAGGTAGGAACTTGTACAATCTAGAAATAAATCACTAACATCCACTAAACTTTTCAACTCAAATATCCTATGTCTTCAATGGATGTTTGGCATGCACTTGAGTGCAGGAACTTCATGATTAAATTCTCTTCTATTCCTATAGTGCAAATATTCTGGTCCATGGTCAAAGCCCAGTAAATACTGGATGGATTGATGGATGAAAAGAAGGAGAGGAGAGCCTTATGTCACAGATACCACAAAGAACAGATGAGGTAGAGTTGTCACTATGTGAGGAAGACTTGGAGGTTGATTTACATTTCAGTCCAATAGAAGAGCAGTCCATTTTTATAGGCAGCAATGGGACCTGGAGATAGAGCCAGTGTTTTACTCAGAAAATAGCTTAGACTCTTAATGAATTACCTGCAGAGACCTTTAGCTAGGACTCCAGAGTCCTGCCCTATGCAATAAAAAAGGAATGAGTTCATTCTAAAAAAAGTTTTAAGGGCAGTTATTATCAGTTAATCATAACATCCCTGGACTCTAGCTAGCCTCTGTGGAGTGTCTGCTTTTAAATAGGGTCCCTGTAGAATTATTAAGATGTGCAGTGTATGCCTGAGCAGCTCTGAGGCTTGACCCGTGGAAAGGGTTATTGCAGATGCATGGCGAATGATTACCAAGTGCAGTATTAGTTTTTGACGTGTTGATGCTGAGCATCTTCTTCAGACAATAACTAGTCAGCAAGCTCAAAAACACTTCTTAGGACTCTTCTCATTCAGAAAGATGCAGACCTTTTTCTCAGCCTGCTTTGCTATTCTTCAGGATGTCTCAGAGCTATCTCGGACCTGGAAAGGGTCACTTGGAAACCTTATTCTTCACCACCTCCTCCAGATCTTTCATTAAATGGATAACCATTCATCTGGTGACTCAGGGTAGAAGCACAGTATTCGTCTGTGACATCATCCCTCATCCTTAAATCTAACCTGACAATTTCCGTTAATATTTTTGACATCTATCCACCTTACTTCATTTGATATGCTGTTGGCCTTGTCCAAGCCACCATCATTCATTTGAACCATTGGCCTCGCTGCTTCCACTTTGGCTGTTTCTAATCAGATATCCACATATACCCAGGGTAGTTTTTGTGAAATGTAACTTGATTTTGTCATCTCATGCTGACAAAGCCTTCAATGGCTTGCTGTTGTGCGGTAGGGAGAATAAAAGGTATTTACCCTGGCCTACATGGCTGGGCATGATACAACCTTAACTTAGCTCTCCAGGTTTATCTTTCCCTCATTCCCTCTCTTTTACTTTCTCTATGCCCACAATAACTCTCTTTCAGCTTTTTGATGTGCCAAGCTGTTCCCTGACTTAGCATCTTTTTGCTCTTTCCTCTCCTCAGTATGCTGTTGTCCGCTCTTGACCTGGCTCAGTCCTTCTCATTAGTGTTCTTCTTAATTATTAATTTTTCCTAAAGGGTCTTTCTAGATTGTCCATTCTAAAGTTGCCTTCTGATAATTTCTATCAAGACTTAAAAGAATTGAAGATGAGTTCATTTCATTTGTATCTGCCCCACCTTGATACAATGCTGGGTTGGGACCATATCTCTTTGGTTCCCCACTGCACTGTATAGAACAGAGCTTGTGCAACGGTGGTGCTTCACAAATATTTGTTGAATGAAAGACTGCTTCTTAAAAGTAAAATTTGATCTAGATGGAAAGGCAGTAATAGGGCCAGCATCTAACTCCTGTAGCAGTGTTTGCAAACTGATTCCACACGAGTGTCTAATAGATACTCACAGAAAGTTAGTTACTGCCATTTTGCCTTGCTAAAAAAAAAAAAAAAAAAAAAGTGCCATTTTTAATGTTTGTTTTGGGGAGCCTAACAGACTAAGTTTACATCGTGTTCTGGAAAGCTGTCGAACTTTGAGCCAGTTAACCAAGGTCTCCCAGGTCTCCTTTCCCATATATAAATTGAGGAAAATTACATCTCATGAGCTTGTTACAAAGATTTACGTGAGATTATGTGAAGTGCTTCATACAGTGCTTGACACCTTGGAAGAGTTTGGGCATTCTTTTTTCTTATCCCCTTTATATCTCAAGAGATTAATAAGGACTCAGAAAAACTCATTTAATTTTCCTCATAATCTCACTGTTTTTATTTAATGCATAATCACACCCAAGAGCATTAATATGGAGGTCAAAATCAGTTTAGGAGGAAATAATCCATCTCTGGGGTACAAATAAGCAATGATGGACTGGTTATTTAACGGTCAATAACATTGGTTTCCCTCAGAAAGAGACGTGGAATTCTCCTTTGCCTTATCCCAGGGGTGGTGGTTTAACACTGTAAAATTGTAATTACAAATAAATGCAAGTAGTTATTTTTCTTTCTAGCTCAAGAAAATATTCTATGGATATAAGTGGTATGAAAACAATTCCCCTGTTTTAGATATTTCTGGGGAGAAGCCATGGCAATATCATTGAAAACTCTGGACTCCAAAGCTCTTTTGCTTATATTATCAGCTTTGGGGGAAACTAAAAATTTTAATATAATGAAGGCAGGTTGTTAGATTCAAATGGTTTGGGTTCAAATTTGTAGGTGGTCTGTGACTACCACCTCCTTAGGCATACTACTCTGGATGCTAAATTGAGTTTAAAGGAAAATGCTTGAGTTGTATCTATCAAAATTATCAAAGGTTAACTCTCTGCCATTAAGTTAGAATAGCTCACCCATTCTGGCCTCTATTAAATTTATTTCACTGCATGATAAGAGACAGTAACTGGCAAGTTGGATCGCTTCTCTGTAGGTCGTCTCTTTCAGAGAGCTAGGGGCTCTAGCATTAAAAGTTGAAGAACTTTGGATTTGTCTTCCCAAATATTGACCCAGGCAAGGATCTGTATTGTGTATTTAGGGATAGCTATGATTTAGAGCATTGATACGAGGGGATAGATAGGGCAATTAATAGACATTGACTCCTTAGCTCAGTTTAGAGCATGGAAACTTTAGGGAGGCCAAGGGAACGGACATGAATTCCTTCTGGGACTCTCTCACTCTACTCTGCCTTGTTCTGTGTGGCCAAAGATCTCACCTCAGACCCAAGCCAAGTATCTTGAAAAAGTATATATAATTCTTCATTTGGGACATTGGACTAAAAACATGTGAACGTACCTGGGCGCAAATCCATGACCAATACTATGGAAGGTGTGCCGTGTTGACAGAGGGAGGTTTATATGAGTTCTGATGTCTAGATGTCTCCTTGAGCTCATAGTCCATTTCTCACTGCAAACCCACCTTCATAAACAATATAGCTAAATGGAGAATTATGGTTGCTAATGTTACCATATTTCCCGAAGGAGTGCTTTTCATCTCACAGAGGTGACAAAAACCACTTGTACTTTTTTCATTTTTTAAAAAAATTTAAAAATTTTTAATTTTTTAAGGTGCTTTTTTCCCCTTTTATTTTGTTATGTTAATCACCATACATTACATCATTAGTTTTTGATGTAGGGTTCCATGATTCATTTTTTGCATATAACACCCAGTGCTCTTTTACTTAAAATTATTTATCAAAGTAAACATTGATGTTGTCTATCAAAGGTTCTGGTCATTGAGTTTTCTTATGGTGTTTTCTGTGTCTGGTGGGGCTGTAGTGCTTTAAAAAGAAATTCGGGTTATACGCTTTCAACTACTGAGTAGAATGGGAACTTGCTCTTAAATGAAGAAATAATGCATTACCTTTGGTGAAATGCAAGTCTGAGAGTTCAAAGCAGACCACCTCAGATGTCACAGCATAAGACTTCAGAGGTTCTCTAGTCCTGTTAAACTGATGTGATGTTTAAATGACTTCTGTAGGGCGTTTCGGTTTAATTAGATGCTAGGAATTGCAAAGAAATCTAAAAGAACCACTGTAGAATTCTTTGGTCTGCCTGTGAGTTAACTCCCCATTAGCAGCCTGTTGTGGAATGTGACATAGTTCTTTCCTTTTCTTTTTACAGAATGCTATGAACCTACCCCCGGACAAAGCCAGGTTACTGCGGCAATATGATAATGAGAAAAAGTGGGAACTGATTTGTGATCAGGTAAGACACAGTGATGTTTTCATCAAAAAATAATGAAAGAAGAGAATCAGATTTCCTCCCTAAATAATAGTAGACTTTTTCCAGGATACCTGTGAATGGATTTCTGTTTTGGGCCTTCCTGTTTCTTAGTACAAAAGATAAAGCTAGAAAGTGACTTCTTTTATTTGTGCATTATTTTAATTCTCTCCTTTATTTTCCAGCATTTAGTTATTAGATTTTCTGGGAAATCTGGTCAGGTGGGCAAACCAAATTCAGATCTGTTTTGTTTTTGTTTTTGTTTTGTTTTGAGAGAGAGTGAGTTGGCGGGGGGTGGGGGGGAGAGGGAAGAGGAGAGAGGGGAGAGAAAGAATCCTAAGCAGGTTCCATGCCCGGCATGGAGCCTGACGTGGGGCTTGATCCCATGACTCTGAGATCATGACCTGAGCTGTAATCAAGAGTCAGACGCTTAGCCAACTGAGCCACCCAGGCGCCTGTTTTTCTGTTTTACATAGCAGTTTATGCTGCTTGAATAATGCAGGTCCTCTAGTTTAATTGGCTTTCCTATTCATGTATATTGTTGTATATTCATTCAAGAAGGTGAATTCTTTATAAAGAAACATCACTTGGGCTGATAAATTATTTCAGATTTTAGCAATTCTTCAGGTGTTTTCCTTTTATCATTAACTCATAACAAACTCAGATTCTTCAGAGAGATATAAAATAAAAGTGAAATTCCGCATTTTGTTTCTGTCTGCTCTTCTAATTCTCTTAGAGGTCCACTGGTAAGACTTTGAAGTATTTCTTTTCAGCTTTTGAAATGTTTTTGTCTTAAAAAAAAAAAGTTTTGTCTTAGAAACCCAAAATATGTGGATGTACACACCCTTGTTCTGTGTCTTGGTACATTCGTCATTTCTACCCTATTCTTTCAAATGGTATGTAGTATTACATTGTATTGATAGTAATTTCTTTGGCACTTTGTTGCAGGTTGGTGTGGGTCTTAGGGTCAGTCTGTGGCTATCAGGCTCTGTATGTTAGCTCTTTATGTTGGGCCATGAGCTTTAGGGTGCCTGTGTCTCCCCCACTTCCCACCACCCTGAACATTTCTGGTGAGTGTTCTAATTCCTCCTAAGACAGCTCCCACAGGTTTCTCCTGTGGGGACAGCATGTATCAGAGAAGCAGAGGGGTTTTTTATTGCCCACAGGTAGAGCTATTACCCTAAGAAATTCATGCCTGCAGTTGACATGGAGCTTCTAAAGTGTTCATTGTGTGTGGTTTCTCCTTAGCTCCTGAACTCAAACAGTAATGAAATGATGGTAAAAATCCTCCCCTCTTTCTCATGCTATATTTGAGGATCAGGAGTAGATAGAAACTGAAGAGGAAGCTTATTGCTTATATGACCATGATGCAAAAGCGTAAAAATCTTGCTGACACCTAGACTCTCCTTCCTTTGAGATTTAATTTTTCATGAGTGTTGTCTAAACCTATTATTGTGAGGAAAATGATTTTACAATGATGATGAACAAAGATGATAGGGATAGTTAATATAAAGGAAAGGTAATCGCACAAATGAGGGAGGTCCAACGGGTGTGAAAGTTCTAGTATGACAGGTTATGATAGTAACACAGAGGAAAGCAGCTTCAGTGGCCATTTTGTTAGCCCTGTGAGGAGGAGCTGAACCTCCCTCAGACCTGCGGGATTTATAGGCCATCAGCCTGCTCTGCTCCTTTCTAGCTTTATTGATTTGTTAATTTTTTTTTAAAAAAATGATTTTTTAAGATTTTATTTATTTGAGAGCGATTGAGCGAGCGAGAGCACGAGTGGGGTGAGGGGTAGAGGGGGAAGCAGACTCCGCGATGAGCAGGGAGCCCGATGCGGGACTCGATCCCAGGACCCTGGGATCATGACCTGAGCCGAAGGCAGACACTTAACTGACTGAGCCCCCCAGGCACCCCGAGTTAATTTTTGCCTCTCTAGTAGGCAAGAGGGCAGATTGCTGCTGATGGAGGATTTCTAACAGCTCTGGACTCTTCCCTCAGCCCAACAGGGGCTTCATAGGGTTGATGGTGGGTCTAGAGGATCTTGGGGCTGGGAGGGGAGCAAATTAGCTAATTATGTTTCTCATTTTCAGATCCCGAGTTCAGCTTATTGCCCTTAAATGTTAATGTGCCACGACATGGAGAATTTAGCCGCTGTATCTGTTTCTTTCTGGGCATTACTTCAACACATGTCGAAAGCTCCAGGCTGGAGTGCCTTCAGTTCAGAGATGTCCTGGGTGATTTGTTAATAAGAGTGACAAATAATTATTATTGCCAGTGGCCAGCATTTACTAAGTAGATTTTTCTTAATAAGAGCTTTGTGTTGAATTTTTAAAGCAGTCCTTTGTGTTTGTAGCCCCATTGGACAGATGGAGAAAGTCATTGAGGAAGGTGACAGAGCTGTGACAGAGCTGTCCAGTGGTCAGGTGGCCTACATAGTCTGATGGTGGAAAACATGCACATGCCGGGGGCTGTCTGCTTACACACTGCTCTCTGCTCTCTTCCTCACACAGCGCTCAAGTGTGTGAATGAGCGACCAGAAATAAGGAGAAAATACAGGCTGTCTCTGTTTCTCTGGCTTGTGATCGGATAGGCTTTCCTGAGAGGGAGAGGAGTCCGGGAGCTATAATGTAGGCACGGAGCCTCACCTGCCTGCATTCTCACTATGGTGACCTGCCATGTTTGATGAGCCAGTGGTCAGTTTGAGAACTGTAGCCAGCATATGTCGCATATGGGAGACCCATTGGTGTTTCACACACACAAATACCATTTCTCATCTGTGTGTATTTGTGAGGGGAAAGGTAAAAAAAAAAACATGAGCTGAGAGCCCTCATAGTGTATTATTCATATGCTAAGTGTAACGGATTGGTGCTTATTGATGGAATGTCTATCTTGTTATCTACATGGACCTTGTCATATATTTGGTACCTAATCTATATCTATGGTACCTAACCTGATAGTTCCTCAAAGTATATTTGCTTTTAAAACTCTAATTATATGAAATATCCCAAATAGAAAAATCCATAAAGAAAGTAGATTAGTGGTTGCTGTGAACTGGGGGGGTTGGGGGGGACTGCTAATGAGTGTGCATGGTTTTTTGTTTGGTTTTGGTTTTGTTTTGTTTTGGTGTGATGGAAATTACACTGAAGAACTTAGTGGTGGGAATTAGAGAGTGGTGATAGTTGCATAGCCTTGTGAATAGAATAAAATTGTATACCTCTTTAAGAGTGTGAATTTTATGGCATTGGAATTATATCCCAAAAACTGCTTTTGCAACAACCAGAGATAGGTTGAAAAGAGAGGAGGAGAATTTAAGAGAGATAACAATGTTTGTGTGGATCTTTTTGGATTCCAATATGAACAAATTATAAAAATACTTTTTTTTTTAGAAAATTGGAGAAATTCCTCCAAAGAAATTAGTGGATGGTTCTAAGAAATTATTGACTTGGTTAGGTTTGATTTTGGCATTGTAGTTGTATAAGAATCTGTCTTTTTTTAAAAAATTTTATTATTATTTTTTTGTGTTCAATTAGCCAAGATATAGTATCTTTATTTTTAAAGCAATGTGTACTGACATAGGATAGAATATGACTGGAATATGGCTGTCTTCATCAAAAGAACACAGAAAAAGGGGTAGATAAAGGAAATGTGGAAAATGTTGATGATTGTTGAATCTTGCCAGTGGGATATGTTGGGGTCTATTATAGTATACTCTCAACTTCTGTGTATTTTTGAAAATTTACAATATGAAATTAAAAAAGTATTTGCTACATAATCTTCATTTTTTTTCTTTAGCTGTAAAATGTAGTTAATACTAACATTTTTTTAAAGGGGTATCTGGCTGGCTCAGTCAGTGTCAGGGTCCTGAGTTCAAGCCCCACATTGGGTGTGGAGCCTACTTAAAAAAAAAAAAAAAGGCACAACTAACATTTTAAAATTATTTTGAGGCTTGGAGGCAATACTATGTAAAGTTCATGGACTAACATTTGGCATGTAGTAGGTGCTTCATAAATGGTGTGGCTGCTTCTGCTCCTTAAGGGCCCAGATATTAAATATTAATTTTTTATTTTTTATCTTTTTTATTATGTTCAGTTAGCCCACAGAATGGGAGAAGGTATTTGCAAATGATACTACTGATAAAGGGCTGGTATCCAAGATCTATAAAGAACTTATCAAACTCAACACCCAAAAAACAATCCAGTCAAGAAATGGACAGAAGACGTGAACAGACACTTCTCCAAAGGAGACATACAAATGGCTACCAGATATGAAATATTGGTGCCATTATTTTATCATCAACTTGTCTTCAAAAGATTCAAGGAAATTTACTGTATTAAATCTATCATCATATTATACCTAAATACAGTTGATGGTTTGAATGCATGTTGTATGATGCTGTCAGGAAAAGCCATAGCTATAGATTTTCTTTTTCTTCCTTCCTTTTTTTTTTTTTTTTAAGATTTTATTTGTGAGAGAGCATGAGAGCACAAATTGGGGGGAGGGGCAGAGGCAGAGGAAGAAGTAGACTCTCCACTGAGCAGGGAGCCCGATGTGGGGCTTGGTCCCAGGACCCTGGGATCATGACCTGAGCCAAAGGCGGACACTTAACCGACTGAGCCACCGAGGTGGCCCAAGCCATAGGTATTGATTTTCAATTCAGAAAATACCAAGGCCAACCTTGTGTCTTATTTGTGAAGTCTTGAAACAATGACTGTAGGGTGTTGTCATTGATATCTGCCAATAAGAGACTCCCTGATCCTGATGCTTTGTGCCCAAATGCTATATGGAATCCAAATATTAATTTTATTTCTTTTTAAGCAAATAGTGCAGATACATTATTATCATAAGATATATAGTCTAGGCAGAGTGCTCAAAGTGCACAAAGTGAAATGGGACTATTACAGAAATTTAATTCCCAAGGAAGTATATGAGCAAGAATATTGGAGGACTTCTGGAGAGTTTATTTCAGGTTTTAGTTCCGGTGA